AAGCCATAAATGTGTGAGCTTGAGCCTCAAACCTGCATTTCTCACGCCCACGCTTTGCGCTGTGTGGTGAACAGAGCACCCTTGCTTCGTGCCTTGCACCTTGCACCTTCCACCGCATAATATGCGCCTTGGTAATATGAGTGAAATCTTGATTGCATTTGGGCTTATTCAAAACAGTGTTTCTGCTGACATGGTCCTTTATGTGGATCGCAGTCTCAAAATTGTAAGTGGAAGCATCTGCCCGATGCTGAATGACTGTTGAATGAGAAAACGGAATAAGTAGAAAGAATGACGCTTCCTGGATACTGAGGATGCCACAATACCATGGTGATATCAACCACAAAGTCTACCGCACCCCCTGAAATTGGCATGTTGGGATGCGGCAGTGACTGGATTTCCATCAAGCGCAGACGGCCTCATTGCGAGCACATTTCTGGGCTTTCGGAAGAGGATCCTTTCACCATGGGCGACATTTGCGTCAGGCGGCATTCTTAATAAGAATTGACTTACGCTGGCCATGTTTCTAGGTCCAACAGAATTGCTGGCACAGACAACAACCCCGATGAGGCTTTGAGCAAGGTGACCAGCATTCCCAATTGAAAATTTGTTGGCAGGTCCCTGTGCTTGCGAATATCCACCGCAACGTAGATCTGAAACGAAGCACCCTGTGTGAATGCTCGAAGGGATTGGAAGCGAAGATGGCGAACAAAACACCTGGTGGGGATGGCAAGCCTCTGACTCCGTCGGGTGTTGATGGCGTCATCAAGGTAGGTGTTGGCCGGAGATCGTTGTCGCTCTCCTGCACAGTCGCCACACGAGGAAGAGATGATCATGGGTCGAGGGTCTGTCGCTTGAGGGATTCATGCGAATCTGGACTCCGCTCTTTTTCTCGCAGGACACCCGGCAAAGGCGTGGCAGAGGTTTGCTGCTTGATTGGATGGAGGCAGCACCCCTTGCAGACCAACACAAAGTGTGGCCGCTTGTCGCATTGTTGAACTGCCCTTGCATCAATGAATTTTGGTGAGGCGCATTTTGGAACTGAACGCTGTGCAAGGACCTGCAATCAAAAATCGTTATTCGTATGCTGCGGCCAAGCGGTCAATGAATAGCAGCCCTCCAACGCTCGAGACTCCTAAGGATTCTGTTTGCTCTGCAAGAGGGGGAGGACGCTGGATGGATCCAGGCAACGAATCTGAGCTCGGATGCCGCTGAGAAAGGACAGCAGGCGCCAGAAGAAGAAGAGGGGTCCAGCAGTCCATTCTCCTTTCCGGAGAACAAGGCCTCGATACCAATTTGGCTCCTGTCCCTGCCCTGGTTTGCCGCTTTCACTTACACTGTCCCCAATTGTAAACAGGTAGGCCATCGCGGAGACGAAAGCGCATCAAACAGAGGCAGATTGTCAATCGCTGCTTCATGCGACTGTACGAGAAAGCGAACTTTGAGGAACTGGGGCCATTCCCAAGCGCTGAAGCGCAGTACGGGCAAAGAACTCCGCCAGCCAGATTCTAAATTTACAATCGGTCTATAAACTGTCGTCAACAAATGCAAGGTCAAAAAGTCGCAACAGACGAAAAGGCGAAAACGGTATCAGATCGTAGGCAGTGTCCACCATTGATGGCGACTGGACTCCCCCAATACATCCCGCAGTGCCGTCGAGCTCTCAGCTCCACGTCGCGAAACAGGCTAAAGAGCAGCTGCTGCCATATTCTGTGGAATGAGCCGGATCGGCGCTTGCCATTGCCACTCCGATATAGCCGGGTTGTTCCCGAGCCTGAATGTACTCAGTAAGTACACAACGCACGAATAGTTTATGACTGTCGCCTCCGCAGGAGAAGTGGGAGAAATGGTACATGGTGTCCTTCCTTGTGTCCATCGGCTGGATAGGCGCCATCTCCTGGTACATGGTGGAGTGGGCCGCCGACATCGGCTGCCTCCTCAACATCCCCCCCGCCATCATGGGGGTCACCGTCCTGGCGGCAGGCACCTCCATCCCGGACGCCCTCTCCTCCATCGTTGTCGCCAAGCAGGGTATGGGCGACATGGCCGTGGCCAATGCCGTGGGGTCCAACGTCTTCGACATCTGGCTCGGCTTGGGGTTCCCTTGGCTCATCATCCTCCCCTTCAAGACCGGCGGCCACATAGAGGTCCCCAACGACCAGCTGCTGCCCAACATACTCATCCTCTTCGCCGTCCTGGTGCTGTATATCTTGGCGCTTGTGGTGGCGCGCTGGAAGCTGTTTGTGTCCACGGGGTACGTGCTGGTGTGCGCATACGGCCTGTATGCGATATACAACATACTGGTGTGGCAGCTGGACGTGTACGGGTAAGGGGTAGTGGGGCAGCAAGGGGTCTGGGGAGTGGGTGGTGACGGAATGGAGTGTAGGCACGGGCACAGCGTTCCGACGCCGGTTCCGACATGTGCTGACCGCCTGGGCCTTGCTCGGCTGGAAGGCCGCCGGGACGCCCAGCGCATACGTGGCCCGGGATGCAGCGCTGTGTTTTGGATCAAGAGGGCACTCTTTCGGCAATTCAAGCCAGCGTCCCAGGTAATCTGTCCGCGTCTAAATGGGCATGTGTGCCCCTGCCGGTGCTGCCGAAGTACGCAGCCAGTGGCGCATTTGCCTAATATGGAGCATAGTGGGCGCAGCGTGCCAAGATGGCCGGGCTGGCACAAGGGAATGGGGTGGCGAGGCACGGCGACGCCGGCTGCCGGAGCCAGCGCCCAAGCTGTGATCAAGCTGTGTATGAATTGTGACTAATGGGGGAAGGTTCGCCACGGGGCAGCGGTAGATGCACGCGCAAGCGCCTGGAAGCCGCCCGTCGGACGAGCGCAGTTGCTTTGGCGATTTTGCCTTCTCAAGACAAGCCCGGGCCCCTGCGCCCTGCGGGCGACGACGAGCATGTACACAATGAAAGTGTATTTCTGTGACCCCTGTGCTCGTTTTTGCGCTCGAACCCGTCTGCAACACACACACCCAAGTGGTGGTTGGCCCGTCCGCTGTCGGCTCGCCCTTGAAGAAGAGCTCATCGTCTTGAAGGCAGCGCACCAGCGACGGAAGCAGGGCGCATGGAGGGGTGGCGGCTTCCGAGGTGCTGAAGACCTTCGGCAAGCCAAACGGGCATGGCCAATTGGCAGGCCGGGCGATTGAAAATGGCGACTCAGGCCAACGGCCGACAGCAGCCAATAGCACAACTCGAGCGCAGGTTGTGGCCAGTACGCTGTTCACACTGTGAACTTCACAGCGTCTAGTATTTGCCGTGTAGATGTCGGAATGCGAGTTTCTCCATTTCCATTTGTTGCTGCGAGCTGCAATCTGAACGCTTGATGGAGGTTTCGGACATTCAACCGTGTGTTGGACTGCTGCTCGGCGTAATATGCTGACTTTGGAGCAATAGCACAAACTCTTGAAGCGATCTCTGACGCTCCAAAAGGTCCCGTGGGGGTCCCTCTGTCCCTTACCCCCCGGCGGCAATCTGCCATCAAGCGCGACTGAAATTCTTTGATTGCAGCCGGGCACAGAACCTTGGCCAAAATACCCCAAGACGCCGAAGCCAAGCCAAAAGTCTTGCAGGCGACGATGGCCACAATTCCGTATTCAGACAAAGGAAAGTGCATGGCACGATCCCAAACGCCCAACTGCCCAATGAAATCCAACGCACATCAAGCCACCGTGCTACAGTCGGGACGTCCTGGCTGCAGAGTCAGGACTTTGATTCTGACTGTTGGTCGACCAAGGGGGTAGGGCAGCCGTTCCATGGCCAGTGTGCAGATGGGGCCCCCCATCATCTTTGGCGTATGTTGTAACTAGAACTGATTGAGCATTATTGACGGCTGGATGCATAGAGACGGTGAGGCATTAGGAACTGCATTAGGGACATTTATGAACGGTTTGAATACAGAGGGCAGAACACTTGCTGCCCCTTTGCTGGCCTGCAAACCGTTGCCGTGTACTCGAACACGCAGTCCCCGTTCAGGGTCGCCACATTGTTGACCCTGCCTACCTTAGTCAGCGAATGCGGCGAACGAGGTTTGGCCCAAGGCGAGCAGCCACCGTCATCCGGGAAGCGGAACCCCACAGCAGAAGCCGATTGGGTCGCTGCCGCGCACGTGGTCGGGCCCCGCCCCGAGATCTCGGATTAGTCAGCTGGCGTTTACGGGATTCAGCGGAATCACCCTCCAAAGTACTGCGTCCACCTCGTACCCGCCCCAGCCCCCGCCCGAGATTTGCCCAAGGGGTACAAAACGCCGCGCCGCCACCCAGCCGCCGCCCGCCCCAACCCTTGCCCTCGACCCCGCCCTCCGCCTCAGCGCCCTTCCTCGCGGCAAGTGCTCGTTCCCTGCGCCCCACAGCCCTTAGGGGCACCGCCGAGCGCCATCAGTAGAGCTGGAGGCCACACGGAGTAGCCCAGCCCAGCAACGGAATGGAAACTAGTGAGGACGCCAGCAGCCCCAGCAGCAGTCGCAGCCGTCGTTCCTTCAGCCACCGCGGGGAGACACAGGATTTCGTGGCCGACCTGCGCCCCTGCGGCTTGAGCAAGTTCAGGAGCGCTGTCTGCGCAGACGTGAGTGTGCCCCCCCCCACTTTCGGCGGCGCACTCTGGCATCCCCTCACCCCTCTCTTTCTGGCCTCATCTCCACCCCACCCTATCCCCACAGCGCCAGAAGAAGCCATCCTGGCCGCATTCATGATTTGCAGCTCTCGCGAATGGGAGCGGCGCTCAGGGGCCAGCCTCCTCGTCGACCCCCCCCCACAGTGGCAGCCCGGTGTGTCGAGAAACATCACATTTCAACAACCTTCATGTTTCCGCCTCCTTCTTGCCGCCTCGGTCTGGCCGCAACTGACGGCGACCTTCCCCCGCCCCTCTGCAGTGCCAGAAGAAGCCATCCTGACAGGACTTGCGCCGCCCACCCTGACGCTTAGAAGAATTCTCTCCAAATCATCGGACGCCCGCCGGCCCCCACCAGACGCGATCCCCCGACCGATCGGCCCTTGTCCCCAATGGCCGTCTTCGAGGGATCGGAGAAGCGCCTGGAGGTGGAGTTCTGGCATGGCGCCGCCACCCCAGCCGACGGCCTCCGGTCGCTGTCCAGGGCCCACCTGGACGAATTGCTGGACCTGGCCGCCTGCAAGATCATCTCGGGGCGGTCGTGCCCCGCCCTGGACGCCTACGTGCTGTCCGAAAGCAGCCTGTTCGTTTATCCCTCGCTGTGGGTGCTGAAGACATGCGGCACCACGGGGCTGCTGCGGTCGGTGGGGCGGCTGCTGGAGATGACGGGCCGCCTGGGGATGCGGCCGAGGAGGGTGCGCTACTCCAGGGCGAGCTTCCTGTACCCTAAGGACCAGGTGGGGGGCGTGAAACGCGATAATTCAGTTGAACTGTGGACCTGCGTACAGTGTGCTCTTTGATCGTGTGGGGGTGGGGTATTCTGCCAACATTGTCAGGCCATTGTACACTGCTGGCAGGGGGACGCTGCCTGACTATCTGAGTTCAGGATAGACGCACATAATGGCCAGTGGTGTCGATTTTTCACGTTTGATGTTCATTCATTCACTTTGGTGGAAGTGAACTGCCTGTTGAATGCCAAATGAACTGAACTGAAGTGCATCGAGTTCAGTTGAACTGAGCTGCCAGTTCTGCTGAATTTAATGCGTGCAAGAGAGTTGTGGATTAGGTTAGTGTGTGGAGATGGGGAGCGGTGACAAGGTGGATTGGGGCCCCTGGCGGATGGTGGCGGATGATCAGTCCCCCTGCAAAGCGCCGCATGTGTGGGTGGATGTGTGGGTGTGGGTGGCGGTGGGGGGTACCTCGGTTGGAGAATTGCCGCGAGGTGAACGAATGGTGTGTGTAGGTTGGAATGCGCTGTGAGCTTGATCCGGTTTCCTGGCCACGCAATGCCAGCTGAAGTCAAGGTGGTGAGATCCATATGTCTTTCCCCGTCTTGTGTGAAGCAGTGGGGTTTCTCCGGCTCCCAAGGTGCCGCATGTTTATGAGGGCTGTGGGCGCGACCTTGTTATCTTGTCATCCCAGGGTTGTTTGATGTGCTGTTCTGTGTGCTGCTGCCAGCCTCCCCCGCACAGCAGCTTTGCAGAGGAATCTGCTGTTCTCCAGAAGCACTTTGGCTGCCTTGGGGACGGCGGCAGCGCCTACGTCCTGGGGGACTACTGCAGGGGGATGCAGTGGCATGTTTTCGCTGCTGAAGATCCTGGTTCCAGGCTGAAGGGTGGTGCGGCCATCGGCACCACCATCGAGCTGTGTCTCACCGGGCTTGACAGACGTGCCGCCGCCAAGTTCTTCAGGGACGACGCTTTTGTCAGCCCCTCGTGGACCACAAAGAGCACCGGTATCGCAGATCTGCTGAATGGATCCGAGATCGACGACTACGTCTTCGAGCCTTGCGGGTACTCGATGAACGGCCTGAAGGGCTCGGGCTTCATCACTGTGCACGTCACCCCGGAAGAGGCCTGCAGCTACGCCAGCGTGGAGTTTTCCGGCCTGACTGG